CCAAAACTCACCCGATAGAGACGGGCGTGCGAGGCAGGGAGATAGAGTGCGGGAATTCCAGCCACATCTCCACGCGCCTCAGGTCGCCATTCACCACCACATCATACTTCCACGCGGCCTCGTCCACATCAGCAGCGCGCATGCCGAGCGACTGGAAGGCGTTGCGCGCGCCGTTCTTGATAAAGTCCTCTGTGACGCCCTGGTCGTCGTGGTATGCGCCGTGCAGCACGTCACGGTCCTTCCAGAGGTCTGCAAAGGGGAGACGACGGGGCGAGAGGGGGTAGAGAAGGGTTTGTGAGGCGTCTCAACATTCGTTCTTAATGAAGTCCTCTTGGCGCCCTGGTCGTCGTGGTACGCGCCGTGCAGCACGTCACGGTCCTTCCAGAGGTCTAAGGGGTGATGTGAGAGGGGGGAGTGGGAGAGAGTACGGGGAGGGAGGAGGTTAGGGGGGATGAGAACGGGGAGGAGAGGGGGGTGGAAGCGGGGATAAGACGTGGGAGGAGAGGGGAGGGGAGAGGAGGGAGGGGAGGGGGGAGAAGGATAGGCGGGAAACGTCGCGCAACCAGATGGGAAGGCGAAAGCTGAATGGAGAGGAGAGAGCAACGTGAGAGTGGGGGCCGTGAGATTTTGCTCACTGATAAAAGAAACCCTCTGAAAGTAGCAGGACTGGAGTGAGGGCGCTAGTGGAGTATGTGGGGCGGGAAACGAACGAACGAACGAACGAACGAACGAATGAACGAACGAACGAACGAATGAACTGACGAACGAACGAACGGACAATTGATCGTACGTAGTACGTACCAGTGCAGAGCAGCAGCTGCATGTTGGCTCCACTAATGCGGTGCAGAGTGGTGAAGAACTCTACAATGTCTTCATCTGCTGGGAGGCGCAAGACAGCACGCGAGGAACGGGGAAGGGTTGGGAGCAAAGGGCCAGAGGAGACGGGGAGGGGGGGGTGCGGGGGGAAGCGGGACGGGCGCAGTGGGGAGAGGGGAATTTGAAGCATGAGGACTGCGCGACAAGTGAGAAGGCACATAACTCAGGGACATAGAATACGAGGAGGGTCTACTGGACCATACGCCCTTCCACACGCTCTCCTCGCAGCATCGCGCTCTCCTCGCATCAGCTCTCCTCGCAGCATCGCGCACTCCGCTCACCAGCAATGTTGCCGACGCTGCTGCCGAGCCAGAGCACGCAGAGCGTGGCGTCGGGGTGCTGCCGCCGCACGGCGCGCAGACCGTCTAAGTACTCTTCCTGCACGAGCTCCACGTCGTCCGCCGTCATTCGCGGCACCGCCGCCAAGATATTGCGACGCGCCTCGAGCAGAAACGCCTCGGACACGTCGATTCCCGCGAAGCGGCACCTGGGGGTTGGTGGGCGCGGCGGCATGGTTGTGAGATTCGCGGTGCGTAATAATACGCGATGACAAGGTAATGGAAAGTTGAAGGACACGTGCGCTTATGCTTCAATGAAGCTCCACAGAATTGTGCTTGTATGACCATGCGTCTTGCGACAGACCGGGGCCGCACACTGTCCTGAATGTATTCGCGGTTCGAGTGGACTGGATTGGAGCATCATATATTTCCAAATCGGCGAGCAGAGTATTACTGGCAAATTCAGGAGAAATTCGAAAAGCCGTGTGCAGAAACCTGTCGAATTCGTTAAGACTGACATGAATTTCTTTGAATTCTCACCTCCCATGGTGTTCGGCAATCGCCTGAAGCAGCACGCGGGTCTTAAGCGCGTTCCCGCATCCGAGCTCCACCACCACCGCGTCGCGCGGGATCAATCGCGCGATCTCCTTGGCGTGCTGCTTCAGCAGCCGGCGTTCTTCCAGGAATGGATAGTACTGCCGGAGGCGCGTGATCGCGTCGTACAGGGCCGAGCCGCGCTCGTCGTAGAGGTACGACGTGGGTACGACCTTAACGGGAAGCAACAATCCGTCCACGAGAGTGGAACGCTCGATGGCCGGCATGGCTGCCAACGTAACGTCGCTTTCGTTGACGTGAACTGACAAGTCTGCTGAGGCAGTCAGCTGGACGAGAAGACGGCACAATCGTTGGCGATTTGTAAAGGAAATACAGCTGCAGCTTCTGGACAGAACTCCACGGCGTGAAGTTGAGAAGGTTTGATAGGATTTCAGGAGGGCTGAAACAACTCAAAGTCGAGAATGGTTGAAAGTGAGGTTGCGGAGCGAATTCATTGCTCGCTTGACGGGGAATGTGAGGGAATCCCTCAGTGCCAGCAATAATTCACGGATTCGAGGAATTGATTGAAGCGAGAAAGGCGGAATGCGTTTACATGCGGTACTGTAAGTTAACTTTTGGTTTGGGTGCGGTGTGACTCGTCGCTGGGAATGAAAGGTACAGCTTTCGGATTTTCTCCGATTCGGGCCAGTCTGCCTTTTCAGGGTTCCCAGGATTTCGAGGGAAACGACCCTGAAATAAGTAGGGTAATTTTGTCGAAGCACTGATGTGTGGAAAGTTTGGCTTTGTCGCTCCCTCCAGTGTCGTTCAGCGGTAACCACAAAAGTGGAGACGCTGTAAAGGTGGAAGGACTTCGTTAAATCCGCCAAGAAGGGAAGACGTGATGATTTGCAACTGCCATATTGTGGTGTTTTGTCAGATGATGACAACTCCAATCAGAGCATCGAAACCTTCCGTACGCTAGGCAAACGCCCAAAGCTGGAACTGGACAACTCAAGCTGAATTTGTTTGTAGCCGGGTTCTTCAAAGAAGGTGACTGGAAGTGGGAGATGTTACAATTCCGTAAAGGTGCGTTGCCAGTGTCATCACCTGAGATGTAGATCCACGTGGCAATATTTGAGTGAGTGACGAGATGTACTGGATTTTAGCTTGGAGTCGCTTACCAGTTACGACACAGTTCGTCGGATGTCTGCGAAACAGCTTGGTCAAGATGTATGTTGGGGGAATGATGACGGGTTATGCCTGAAGCGAAACTGCTCTGTCGACTCAATTTTTTCTCTGCTTTTCGACTTCCCAAGAAAGCTTAGTTGGAGGGAGTTTAGCATGCTCGCATTGCTTTGCCACCGTGAACGGCTGATTGGCTTGGCGACGAACACCTTGCGAAAATTAAGGCGGAATTTTGCGGCGGAGCTCAACTTCGGTGAAACCAATGGTGATGTCGAACCGAAGGGGCATCTTATCAGGTCTAGGATCCCTGAGTGACGTGGGCGAATTACAGCTACCAAGCCTGAGAATTTCGACATGAATCATGCTTGACGTGGCGAATGTGTATCGAAAGCCTGGCAATTAACACATTTGTCCGCGATAGTATTCAGCTGGTGTTCGGACTTACATAGGCGACCTTGTTTTCATCCTGGACTCTGGCAAGTAGAGTAAAAAAATAGAAGACAAAATATGTTATATTCTGAAAGCACGGGTAGGCAATGAACACATTTGTCCGCGATAGTATTCAGATGGTGTTCGGAATTAAATAGGCGACCTTGTTTTCATCCTGGACACTGGCAAAGTAAAGTAATAACATAGAAGACAAAATATGTTATATTCTGAAAGTAGGGGTAGGCATTTGGTCAGATGGAAAACATATTCAACAATGCTTCGTTTAGAGGTCAACGCTTCCTCCTCTGTCGCGAATCGAAATACGAAAACAGCTGACGTGGTCCGTTACCATAAAAATGCTGCGAGAAATGCAAGCGGGGTTCTGCGCCTCGTGTTGACAAGGTCGGTGCCGAAGCTTTTCCAATCTTCACCGCTCGATGTCATAAAATTATATCTCGACCGTTTAAACCACTGATGGGATGATTGGGTGGATCTTTTCAAACCAAACCAACGCTGTCAGATTGCGGTTGCCAAGTCGCTCGCACGACCCCCCTCCGTGCGGAATCGGACACTGATTGAACTTATATGGGTAGTAGCGGCATCAGTGGCTTCATCGCGTGACCCTTGGCGTTCGTCTGCAGCGGAACGCGCACACGTGGTAGATTTGAAAAGCAAGAAACACCTTCAGGCTTCAGCCAGCCGACCGAATTTTCCGGCGTCTTACGATAGATCAGCCGAACGCCACCAGAACGATGATGGGAGCGAAAACGAGCAGAACAATGACTACGGCGAAAACACGCCACTGCAGTGACTCATACCGAATGGAGAATTGCGCGTCCTATCTCCTCTCACTGCGACGCGCTAAAACTCGTTATAACTTCGAAGGCGCGCGGATCCCGCCATGTCGAAACTTCAGCTTGGACCACTTCTACCCTAACTCCCTCTCCCATCGGCCTACATACATGTCTTTCAAGAAACCACGGCGTCAGTCCGGGATTTTTAGGGAGTCCCTGATTTTATCGAATGTCGGTCCAGCCAGACGCTGGTCGCTGGTACTACCAGTAGTTCTGCCGGAAACCGCCAATTTCGTACCGGAATAAGCACCCCGTGTCGCGACCGTCCAGAGAGATTTTCATGGCTATAGTAGACGTGGCGCGGCGGGAACTGACTCTCCGCGGCCCGACTCCCACTGCTCTTAGCAGAGCCGTCGTCGCTTCAAGCGATCGTAATCTCCTCCTAGAGATGTCTCAACACTCTGCCGCCGCCGCCGCCGCCGCCACCGCTGGCAGTGCGCACCGCGCTCACGCGCCCGCCGCCGTTGCCACAGCAACGGTGACAAACCGCCGTGCCGCATCAGGATCTGCCTCGGGTTCTGCCGCGTCGCCGGCTTCCCTGCTGCTGCTACCGCCGCGCCCTAATAAGCGCGAGCGGCGGTCGCACGCTCCCGCCACTGCCGCGACGCGCCCTATGATGCCCAGTACGGCCATCATTGGGAGGAGTGTTACTGCCACTGCCACTGCCAGCGGCACTACCAAAGTTTTTACCTCTGCAACGAGCGGGGAAAGCCTTCGTTATCCGGGAAAACCGGGTAACCTCGCGAACCAGGGTAACTTGGGGAACCAGAACCTTGGGAATCCCTGTGACGTCAGCAGGAGCTCCGCCTCCCCTTTAGAGCGCGCCTCCCGCGGCGTTTCCCCTATGAAGGCGCGGGGAAGGCGGCTGCGCGCGTCGCTGGGGGACAGCGCTCACCTCCGCTCGCTCGCTCGCCGCTCCGCTGCTGCTGCCCTGGCCGCCGCTGCGGACACCCCGCCTCCCCCGACTTGGGGAGAGGAAGGGGGGGAGGACGGGGAAACCGGGGAAGACGGGGAAGATGGGGAGGCTGCACGGAAGGGTGGGCGGGGGGAGAAGCAGGATCATGCTGATCCGAATCCTGGGGAGAGCAGTGTGGTGGCCCAGGCCCAGGCTCAGGGCGGTATTGCTCAGGGCGGTATTGCTCAGCACCAGCAGGTACAAGAACTCCCGAGCCACACGAGCGGCATGACGATTTTGCATGGGCACGCGAAAGGCGGCTATGACGGTAGTAGTGGCAGCAACGGTAACCGCGGGAACGGTGGCGGAACCAGCACCAGCAGCAGCGGCAGCTGCAGCAGCAGCAGGGGTCATCGCAGTGCGGAGTTCAGCCGTGTGACTCCCGGTCGTCCTCCGCTCCCATCGCCTCCCCTGTCGCCATTTGCCCTCCTGCGCCTCTTACGACGGTCGGCGAGCGCGTCAGAAACGAGAGACCGAACCGCTTCTGCTGCTGCTGCTGTTGCAGCCACTTCAGCTGCTGCTGCAGCAGCATCATGTGCAGCAAGTGCGGCATGTGCGGCATGTGCAGCAAGTGCGGCATGTGCGGCATGTGCGGCATGTGCAGCAAGTGCGGCATGTGCGGCATGTGCGGCATGTGCGGCATGTGCGGCATGTGCGGCATGTGCGGCATGTGCAGCATGTGCGGGCCTTGGGGGATGTGCAGTATGCGATAGTGAGAGATCAAGAAAGGGACAGCGTTTTATGATGAGAGCAGGAGTGAGCAGAGGCAGCAGCAGTGGTGGTGGTAGCTGTAAGTGCAGCAGAGGGAGCAGCAGCAGCAGCAGCAGCAGCACCAGCCATGCAGTTGCCAGTGCCTGTGACCACAGGAACAGCACCAGAAGCAGCAGCCACTGCAGGAAACGTAGCACGTCCCATCCGAAAATATCAATCGTGGTCAGTTCTCCTACCACCACTTGTGTTAATTCTATCACCGGCCCACCCACGCGGTTTCCTCCTCCCTCGGCTTCTGCTCTCGCAGCAGTAGCAGCCTCCCCCGAATCCCTCCTTCTCTTGGACCCTGCCACGTCACAAGTCCTTGCAGCCAGCTCAGCAGCAGCCGCAGCTCTGGGCATGACACGTGGCGAGTTGGAAGGAGTGCGGTTCGTAACTCTGCTGCACGGTGTGAAGGAAGACGCATGGGTGCATGCGTTGGGGGCCGCAGTGCTGACTAAAGGCCTTGTACACTCGGCCAGAAATGGCAGTGGTGACGCTAATGCAACACAATCTAGCAGCAGTGGGGCCGATAGTGCTGGCGTTGCTGGCAGCAGTGGCGATGGTAACGGTGGCGCTGCCGGCTTTATTACTCTCAGGTCCGTGCCTTCTTAGTCTGGCTTGCCTGTTTGTACTAGCTTGCCTGTTTTCCTTCTTGTATTACCTTTCCTCGCTTCCCCTGCACCGCACATCCCTCCATTGCATTTCAGAGAATCGTATTGTTCTGTTGTCACCCCTTCCTCAAGGTCTCAATGAAAAGAAACTCCGTGTTTTGCTTCTCTGCAGGTTTCGCCTGGCTCAGAGGAAGGAGGACCGCCAAGGAGCGCTGGTGGGGCAGAGAGTGCGCCTAGACATACGCCTGCCTCGCAGACCCGCCCTGCCATCCTGCACGCCTGCTGCTGCTGCTCCTGCTGCTGCTGCTGCCGCTTCTGGTCCCTGCGTTCCTCCTTCCTCTCATGGCACGTGTACCGGTGCACAACCTGCTCGCTTCTCTCCGCCTGCTTCTCAACGGCCCGATTCCCCTGTGGCGTCTTGCTCTGCTCTCCAGTCCCCCTGTGCGGCGCTGCTTTCCGCCCCTCTCCTCGCGTCCTTGCATCCTGCTGCAGCTGGTGCATCGCCCCCTGTGCTGCACTCTCTGAGTCTGGCTGCATTGGAAATAGCATCGGAGGATTGTGGGGTGGCGAATGGTGGGGTGAACAGTGATGTTAGCAATGGTGGAGTGGAAGGGAGTGGGGGGTGCAGGGGGCAGAGCACTATGGCAGCGGGGGAGGGAGAGTCGATGGGTGGAAAGAGAATGGGGGTTGGTGTAGCAGTGGCTGATGGCATGCATTCGGAACAGCAGGGAGGCAGGTGTGTCCCTGGAGAGACAACGTGCATCAGGGAGAACAGTGGCGGCAGCAGCGGTTGCAGCAGCAGCAGCAGCAGCAGCAGAAGCGTTACCAGCACCGACAGCAGTAGCAGCACGGGCACCAACAATACCAGCCGCAGCCGCAGCAACAGTAGCGGGACGAGCAACGCATCTGATTCAAAGAATAAAGGGGTGCGCATGTGGTTCCACATGAACAGTACCAGCGACGGCATGAACAGCACTCGGAGGAGAACGGGCAGTTTGACAGGCCGGCAGGTGGATCTTTCCCCACGATACATTCATGACAGCCCGTCCCCTTCCCCCAATGCAACTCGCAGGGAAGGTGCTGTGAAAGGCGGGAGGGGTGATGAATGGGGCAAGAGAGGGAAAGAGGGACGGGATGGTGAGTTCAAGGATGGATCAACACAGAGAATGCATGGGAGAGGTGGAGGCATACCAGACATGTGGCGAAAGGTTGTTGGGGAAAGGCAGCAGGGGAATAGGAAGGGAGAGGCAGAAAGGAGTGTGACCGGCGGTGCTTCTGGCATCGTGCAGAATAGTCTGCAAGAATCCCTTCAAGGGGCGGCCAGTGTTCTGCACCACAAGCAAGATCTCGCTGACAGGAGAACTGCGCATTCAGCCATTCCACTTGCTAGAAGGAAAAAACTGGCTGGTAGGAAAGGGGTTGATGTGACAAGGGTTTGGGAATACAGGGGTTCAGGCAGCGTGACTGGGACGAAACCATTGGTGAGCTTTGAGAACTGGGCGGTCTTAGAGGAGAGTGTGGATGAAAACGACATGGAATGGTTTTCTTGACCTTGTTTAATACGGTACGTGAAAATTAGGGACATCCGTTGGTTTTGAAGGTCGTGCCATGCCATATATACATGCAGTGACCATACTTGGCCTTATGTCTCAGAAGTTAGTGTCAGAAAAGGAATGATGTATGTATTACTATGAGTTGGGGTACATATACCTAACCCTAACAACTGTACCCCAGATGACATGGATCACTAGAGGCTACAACATTTGACACACCCCCATAGCCTAAGTGTGGGGTGTCATGCAACAACCAAACGGTACGGTCACAAGACCAGTCACAAAGAGACAAAGCTCAGGGTGGATCACAACGTCACCATACAGTCCGAGCACAAACAAGAGGCCACAAGGCCAGTCCAAGAGTTCACAGAGGTATATGTAAAGAGTACAAACAAAAGAAGCAGACAACACAAGTCTACACAAGACGAGAACCTGTGTCAACGAGACCTAACTGCACACAAAACCTGTGGTGGTCACAAGGCGGAAGGGCCTTGGTGAAGATGTCTGCTGTGTTGGCCTCGGAGCCCACGAAGTCCAAATGAGTCTGTCCACGCCTCTGCAACTCTCGAAGAAGAAAGTACCTGACGCTGATGTGCTTCACTCTGCTCTCCAGTCGAGGCTCTCGACACAGGAGAATCATCGCCTTGTTGTCTTTGAACAAGGTCGGTGCAGAGCTCGGCCGCTCACCAAGGTCAGTGAGCAAGAAGGTCAACCAACGCAGCTCCTGTGCAGCCATGGCTCCAGCGTAGATCTCAGCCTCAGCGGTAGAGGTCGAGACCGAGGAGGAACGTGTGGACCTCCACGAAACAGCTCCAGAGCCCAGGTTGAAACAGTACCCCTGAGTAGACCGGTGAGTCTCGGCGTCGTCAGCGTAAGAAGAGTCACAGTGGCCGGTGAGCACGACAGGCCGTCTCCCTCCAAGCACCAGCCCCACGCCTGATGACGTCGCTAAGTACTTCTCCACCCTCACAGCAACTGTGTAGTGAATAGGACGGTGTCTCCTTGGCGCAACAAAGCGGGCAAGGATGCTGAGAGGGAAGGCGAGGTCCGGGCGAGTACAAGTCATCAGGTACATGAGGCAGCCCACAAGCTCTGAGTAAGGACCACTAGGCTCAAACGACTCATCAGGGAAGGGTCAAGTGAGTCTGTGGTCAACAGCAAGAGGAGTAGGCTGTGCAGTGGAGAACCGAAACCCGAACCGTTGAAGGACCTGCTGCACCATGTGTGACTGGGTCAGAGTGATGGTGCGAGCTGCTTTGTCCCTGGTAATCTGCAGGCCAAGGTAGTGGCGCAGCTCACCAAGATCAGTGCACGTGTGTCTCCTCTGCAGTTCGGACTTCACGTCCGCCAAAGCAACCGTGTCAGCAGTGGCGAAGACCATGTCGTCGACGTAGACCAGTACAAAGAAAGGTGTGGAGCCACGACGAACAAACAGCAACGGGTCGGCAGAAGACAGCTGGAAACTGAGGTCAGACAGGGTAGAGCGAAGAGTGTCGTGCCACTCACGAGGCGCCTGACGGAGACCGTAGACCGGACGTCTGAGCCTCCGCTGGGTCTCAGGAGGGAAACTGCCAGTGAGGTCAGAGGGACGACGCAGCCAGACCTCCTCGAGTAGGCTACCCCGGAAGGTAGTGGAGAAGTCGAGAGAGTGTAACTCGTAGTCTCTCTGTGCTGCCACGTGAAGTAACACCCGAAGAGTGGTCATCTTCGGGGTAGGCGCGAAGGTCTGAAAGAAGTCAACTCCCTCGCGCTGACTGAAACCTCTAGCCACATAACGCGCCTTGAAGACCGAAGGAGATCTCGGTGGCCGCTTCACCTTGAAGATCCACATGCCATCGACTACGTTCGCCCCCGTAGGGGGAACCTCGTCAACGTAGGTGCCTGTGGATCTGTAAGAGGCCATCTCTGCGTCCATGGCAGCTCTCCACTGAGAGGCCCAAGGCCCTGACACTGCCTCAGTGTAAGTGCGAGGAGTTGGCATGTCAAGGGCGCTGGGGTCTCCCTCGGGGGCGAGCAGTATGGCACAGAGATGAGGCGAAACGGCTGTCATGAACTCTAGCTCAAACTGCCTGTCCTATAGGGTGTCACAGCCAAAGGCAGACTCACCCCCGACGGCCAGAGGACGGGTAGGAGGAGCAGCCACAACACGAGTGGCGTAGTCAAAGCGGCGAGTAGCGGCGAACTCAGTGACAACGGCAGTAAGGGCGGAGACAAAGGACAGAGAGGCACGAGGGTCCGTAACAAGAGAGGCGAGAACATGAGAGAGAACAGGACGGTACGTGCGGTAGTAGTCAGTGACAGGAGTAGAGAGGGAAGCAGTAGGGGTCGACTCAAGGGGAGAAGGAAGCATAGACGGAGACGGACGAGGGGAGCTAGAACGAAACAGGATAGTACGAAGGTCAGTGACGGGAACAGGGAACGAGGGACGAGCACGAGGAGAGCGAGACGCCCAAGTGTGAGAAAGAGGAGGGGACAACGGGGTCTGAGAACGGGGGAAAACAGCCGGGGTGGAGTCAGGAGGAGGAAACGTGGGACCGTAGACAGGAGGAGAGGGGGAGGAGGGAGGAGAAGGGGAGGGGAGACCAAGCCCGAAGGCCAGAGATAGGAGGCGTAGGCGGCCGCCGCTGTTGCTGCTGCTGCTCCTGCTGCTGCGGCGGCTGCTGCTGCTGCGGCCGCAGCTGCTCCTGCTGCTCCTGATGTTGTCAGAGGTCCACTGGTGATCCCCGATTGATCCTAGGGAAGGGTTACAGGCTCGTTGTCCTGGGGGGTTATGGGCGCACTGACCCGCTACTTAACAAGCCATTTTATCCCAATGGTCTAGTGGTTGGGATTCTGACATAGTATCAGAGCGAAGGTCTCGGGTTCGAATCCCAGTGCGTGCACTTCGGGCATCCCAGTGCGGGGGGATAAAATGGTTTGTGGGAGGGAATAAAAGAAGCAGGGGATTGGGGTTGGGTGGACGGGAGGGAGGCGCAGAGGCAACGACCCACCCTATCCCTCTCCCTCACCCTCTACCCACCCCTCTCCCCCTCTCCCTACCCTATCTCCCCCACCTCATCCCCCCCTCGGCACCTCCCTACATGTCACCATCTCACCACATGCCCCTCCCTCACTCCTCCTCCGCATCCTTATCTCACCGTCTCGCCCGCGCATCCCCGTCACGAAAGTCAGTCCCGATCGCCCCGCCGCCATTTCCCGCCCGCTCTGCGCGTCGTTCGCCTCCTCTCCTCTGCCGCCTCCCTCGCCGCCTGTTGCACCGCGTGTGACGCCGTCAATCGCGGGCCCTGCGCGATCCCCTACCGGTCCGTCGGCCCCAGACTGTGAAACGGCGCGCTCGCGACGCAGGTAGTCCGGAGCGGCGCCGCCGAAATCTACGGCGGTTCGCAGCGCGGCCGCCTCCTCCGCGAACGACGGCAGACGCGGTGTCTCTCCAGTGGTACCCGCGGTGGCAGCGGCGGAGGTTGCGGCGGGATTTGCGGGGTGGTATGCTGCGGGAATCGTGGAGGAGTCTTGGCAGAAAGCGCAGGTGCAGTCGGGAGTGCCGAGACAGCGATGATTGACGACGGACGTGGGGAAGCGACGTCGCGATGCCATCTTATCGCACCCCTATCACGGAATTTACGGGGCGAGCAGGCAGTGTGGAGGGATGTGGTGTGGGTCAGGGGCAGGGGAAAGCGTGCGAAACAAGAAAGTGCAGCTTGCGGAGGGTGTCTGACCCAATTGATAAATCGGATTCGTTGCTGCTCCTGCTGCTGCGGCGGCTGCTGCTGCTGCGGCCGCAGCTGCTCCTGCTGCTCCTGATGTTGTCAGAGGTCCACTGGTGATCCCCGATTGATCCTAGGGAAGGGTTACAGGCTCGTTGTCCTGGGGGGTTATGGGCGCACTGACCCGCTACTTAACAAGCCATTTTATCCCAATGGTCTAGTGGCTGGGATTTTGACAGATGTGGCGGCTGCTGCTGTTGTTGCTGCTGCTGCTGCTCATCGAGCTGCTGTAGCTCCAGCTGCTGCCGCTCCAACGCTAGCCTCTCCGCTACAACACTTGACAGCTAGAACAGCGGCATGGTGATATTAGACGGGATGGGTGATACAAATATGGACCCCTAATGTGTTGTACCACCTACATTGTACCTCACTACAACCTAACAATATATATATATAGTTTGACATTATGGTATGCAAAACATTGAGCGTGTGCTTGAGTATATTGTGCTGTAGCTCTTCTTGGCGGCAATGGTTTCAACAAGAAGCATCAACCCCATACGTCCTGACAAAGCAGTGCCCGTTGGCACATTGAATGTGTTGTTCTCAGTTCAACAGTTTGTTTGAGTAATACCGTATGACAGGAGTGCACAATCATCTGGCGACTGTATCAGTAGATTTCGTGTTGGGCTTGTTATTAGATGCATTTTAATGCGGCTGCAATAAAAAGAATCTCATTAGGCAAGAGTAACTCGTGTTTTGCACAGTGCAACTACTTATGCGGGCCAAGAAGTTCAAAGTTAGGAAGGTTGGTTGGGGCGAGCAATACAATTGGCCAAGATTTTGGGTGTCAGGGCCACACCACACCGAAGCTGGGAAGGTTGAACCAATTTAGGCTTTCTTGGCCTGCAGGTTTTAAACTGGAATGGGTTTTGCAAGATTTTTTGTGTTAGCTATATCTTGCCTAGGCACATTGAGTCACGTCTTTGACTAGAGAGTCTCACCTTCAATGCACTGTAGTATTACATTTCATAACAAACATCATCGCCCTCGGCTTTATTTTGTGATATCGGAATCGCCGCATGTCTGTAAAGGGGTAATATTCATCAGCAAGTTCTGCGAGCTGCGACACAACGGACCAATTCACTCCTTGCTGCGACACGCGGCAACGTTGTTTGTAGCCTGTACCTGTAGGGCTGAGTTGCACAGTCGTGTCGCACAAGGAGCAATCCCTGGTTCGGAGTCTTGGTCCGGGAGACATGACAAGCAACCCATCACCGTTCGTATCGGTTCCCG